CACAGGCCTCTGCGTTTAACTCCGACAACAAAAGGCCCAACTCCGACCCATCCGGCCCGGCCCGATCCCGGCCCCTCCGGCCCATCCGGGGGCCCCAGGCCCGCGCTTGCCCCGCTTGAAGACGAAGCCCGGCCGCGCGCCCGCGAACTTGGCCGAGGCCTCGAAGTCCTGCGAAGCTTCCCTCGGTCCGGGTCCACCAGCTCCGAGTGCCGGTGAGACCCGTGTCTTCGCTTTTGAGGGGCGAAGCCCTCGTTGGTTGTTGCGGGGAAGCCGGGAAACCAAAAACAAATCTGCGTTGAATGTGAGTCAGAATCAAAACCCGGTACAAAAATGGTCGTAATCCCAGAGCCGCTTCGTTTTGATCGATTCCTTGTCCATTCTTTTCAACCATCGTTCTTTCCAAGAATCGGATCCGCTTGCCCTGGGATTTTGGAGGTCTTCTAGAAAGAAGGATCCCTGGGTTCAGAATGGGAAAAGTAGCCCTAGAATAATCAAAACCTGGTACAATGGTCTAAATCAAGAACTAAGAAGGCGGATATAAGCAGCTATTTATGGTTGGGATCGCCCCTTGCTAACCTTCACTTACCCCTTTGGTTTTGATTGTGACACTCTTTGGTTTTGCGGGGAAGCCGGGACCCCAAAGGATTTCCACGTTAATCTGGGGGAGTTCCTATTGTGAGACAAGACATGGCCGTATTTCCCCTGATGTGAGGTTAACCGGGATAAGTACCAGCCGTTTAGCTAACCCGCGAACCATGCAACAGGGTTCCCAATATTTCCCAGTACAAACATCACACCTATGAAGGGAGACTCGCCTTAAATGGTCCAAAAAGAGTGAAAACGAGAAAGTGTGTAGGGACACCTGATAACTGAAACCTAGCCAACAAAAAAAAACATGGCTTGCTGATCAGGCCCTTTTGAGAGGACTACTGTCTGGTGTCAAAAAACCTGGAAGAGAGCGTGCCTGTGCGCCGCTGTCAAACAACTTCTCTCACCACCACCACCACCACCACCAAAAGAAAAGCCTTAAACAACAAACACATCTCTAGTTTTCCACCCCCCCTCTCCCACTTGCTTGCCCCCCGTTCCCACCCAAAAAAACAAGAAAAATAAACAAACCCATCTCTAGTGGACCTGTTTGGTCTTCCAGCGTCTTCGGGAAGTCCCCATGCGCCATGGATTTCACAGGGGCGGCTGGTTGCGAAGTCCGTTCGCATCACTTGAATCAATCAGAACCTTGTAAGCGAGCGAAAAGGGGTCTACCAAGAACCCCTTGCTAAAAATGAAACGGGGCTCCCTCTATTTCCCCAAGAGGTAATGTTTACAACCACCCTTTTGGGGGATATACGGTTTCACATAAAAAAAAATGATCAACTGCAGGTTGTTCTCCAAACCCCATCTTCCATTACTTGTTCGCCCCTGGAAAAAATGACAATATGTCCAGTAGTGATGAATTCCCTGAAAATCGAGCAAAGGAAAAACACAAAATACCCTCCCACCAATTAACATGCAACCTGCCGAGGGTCATTTGAAAAAGGAGAACCCCCCGAACGTCAGAATCCTTCCGTGAATTGGTGGGAGGGCGTATTCATTTCAGCAAATGGACGCCATCAGCTTGATTCTCACACCAGCGGGACTCGCAAACCGGCCCAATGATCTCCTTCAGGGACTCCCCATCCTGCGGGACTTCGCCGGTCAGCCTGAGCCCGGAACCAAGATGGCACCAAAGCAGCGCAAGCCCTAGCCAAGGCCGCCCCACTCCCCAAAATTTGAAAAAAAAAAAAAAAAAAAAAAAAAACACATATGTCACAACCAACCAAAAACACACTGAACAATACGTTGAAATAAAAAAGAAAGCTCAGGTGGTATCCCCAACAGCCCCGCAACCCCTGAAAAACCCTCCTTTTGAAGTCTCCCTGAAAGCTGCCCCCAACCACCTCTTTGTCGCTCCGATCTCTGGGCCATTCTGGGCCTTTCGACCCCGAATAGCTTTCAGCTAGGGAAAATGGAAAATCAACCACAACCAATCTCGGTTGCTTTCTGCCCCCCACAAGTGACTAACTTTTAGCGTTTTAATACGGAAAACCCATGAGTTGGCAAAAGTTCAAGTCCGAACATCCCTTGGCAAAATGCACCAAAGCAATGCTGTGTGTTCGGACTGCCGGGTTGCGTGGCTTGGTCAGGTCCTCAGGACTTCGGTGGCTTGCCCTTCTTCTAAGATATATGGTGCATGTATATACACGTGTGTGTGTGTGTGGGTGCATGTATTTTTACATACCTATGCTGTGTATACATATTATAGAAATATATATATATATATATGTGAATATATATATATATATATATGGGAGCCACGGTCAATATGTGTGTCCGCCTCAATGACGTTCGATATTGCTGAGTGCGACTGTACCCAATGCCATTCCCTTGACTACAATAGATGAGGGCTGCTCTTCATACATACATTATGTATGTATATGTGTATGAGTTCTTATATATAATATATGTATAAATTAATCTGTTTGTTGGTATGTAAACTGTACCCTGGTGTCGCTTGTTTCCGCCTCCAATCGGACGCCATGTTTGAAGAGATGGAAGAAATGCAAAGGAAATATGAATACACAGATATGTTTGGCAACCCATCTGAAAATTACATGTCTGTGTTGGGGTCAGGAGTAGTAGAAATCAACAACACATGCCACAAGCATGTTGGAAAATAAATGAATGGCATGCCACAAAATATAGAGTCTGGAATTGGCAGACAAATGTGCGTGGTTTAAAGGAACTGCTGGAGCTACCAAAATGAAACAACGTACTTTAGAGAGACGCAGGATTCATTCGCTGGAAATGTGTCCTTGGAACCTCATGTACTTTGTGTGTTCGGGCCAAAAACATATCTACGTTGTCTCCCTCGAAAAAACAAATCCTCAAAAAGTTTTCCCAGGGGTGCCGTCGCGAGAATCGAGCCTTTCCAGGGATTCTTCCCAATTCTTGCTGACGAGCTTGAGGTCAGCGCCTTCGGGGTTCCACTTTGCTTCAAGTGTTTGTCCTTATTTAACAACGGCCGTTCATTGGAGGACAAGGGTGTTGAAAGTTGCCGGGGAGAAGGCTTGAAGGTTTCAAGGGATAAGGATTTAGGAGCCTGAACTAGGAATGGTGTCAACCAAGTGTATCCCTTGAACATGTCCCGGCAACTTTCGAGGTATGCTTTCCACAAAACTCTTGGAATGGTAACCAGCACTTGTGCAAGGATTCTCTCCAAAGCCCTTCTAGTGAACCTCGCGAATATGGAGAATGTAACCCTTCTCCCCATAGAATGCAAAGCGATGGGAAGAATGGTTGGCAGTGAAAGATATCAACATGTTGTTTTCCTCGTGGTTTACCTTTAAAGACACCAAACAAGGGGTACCCTGAAAAAAGACCACCCGTATCCGATGCCCGAAAGGAAGAAACACAAAAGTTGGACGCCCATGGACCCCGCAAATCGCAGCTCAAGGGTGTCTTTGTTGCATCGAGGTTCGGAAACGTTGGAGGAAGCCCATAAGAGTCATAATCAAACCCTGGTATTAAAATGGTCTACCCAGAGCCATGTAAAGAATTAAGAAGGCGGCCAGAGCTATTGATGGTTGGGATTGTCCCTTACTAACCTTCATCTACCGGGTTTTGATTGTGGCTCATAAGCTCAAAAGGAACCCACGCTGAGGGAGTTGCGACTGGGGAAGATCGGGTTCAAACATTCAGACACCTAAAGGGAAACCAACAGAAAGTTATTTTAACAATATGGCCATGGGTCAAAAGCCCGTACCCCCAGTGAACATCCCAATCCCCGCTAAAAAAGACTAAAATGGGTGGTGCACCTATCCCAAAATGGTACCATTGCTTTTGACCCACGGCCATATGTCTGAAGACTGGTTTCATAGGTTTTGGACACCGCTCTTCTTTCGCCGGAGCAGCTTGCGCATGGTCTCCATGAACGCGGTATGGAAGTCCTGGCGGCGAATGGAAAGCGGGATCTTGGAGATGCTTCCCCCCCCCCCCCAAATCATGGGATCTTCGGGGGGGCGGTTAGGGGGCTATGGGGGGGGGTTATCCCTGGATAAGCCCAGGATAGCCCAGCTTAAAAGCCCTTAAGGCCTTAAGGGCTTAATAAGGGATAGCCCCCCCCTCCCCCTTGAAATTCCATGTCCAAACAATCCAAGGCTAGAGATGGGCGATACAGCCACCACTTCGCCACCAGAAAAAGAAGAAGAAAAAAAAGTGGGTGCGGATCATTCGATCAATCTCCCCCCGATGGCTTCCAGGATCCGAAGCAAGTTGCCCCAATGGAGAAAGCTATGTGTCAACCACGAGTTCTTGACGTTTCCAACCAGAGACCGGACTCGTTGCATATCTCTGGGGAAGTCTGCACGGAAGACTGAAGCAATGGGATAGGATAGAAGAATACAACCCTAAGACGGACCAAGCAATGAGCATATGCTCGCGCGTTTTCAGGAAGCCTACAAAGCATGCACGACGCACGTGACATTCGGAGTGCCCCAGACAAGTTCCCTGCGCCTCGTCCTCTTCCTCTTTTGCCTCAGCCTCGGGCTTCAAATCTGAAGTTCGGGGCCCGTTTTTTGGGGTCTCGCTAGGCGCCCGGGTCCCAACACCGCCCATGTCTTCAAAAGATGACAAAGCCGTCAACATCTCCTGGCAAGGTTCCAACGAATGGCGAGAATGGTCCCACAACCGCTAGCAACAAGCTCTTGTTGCAAGCACCACGCCGAACGAAAGTAGAAAGATATGGCTCTTGCTGTAAGTTTCTTCAATGCTTTAAAAACAAAAAACAAAAAAAAACTCAGAACATCCCACTACTTGGATTCACCGGAATGCGCAAAAACCAAACGGCTTGCTCTTCCCTTGGTGTGTTGCCTGGAAAATAACATGCGCCAACGGGCACAACCACACCCCACCCACCCACCTCCCCCCACCTCTCCCCCGCACAAACAAACAAACAAACAAAAAAACATGTGCAAAGACCATGTGGGTGTGACTTCGTTTGAGGGTACCAATCTGGGGTCGGTTTAAAGGGAAACCAAACGGGAACCCAATTTCCATTGTGCAGGTACCCCCAAAACTTGCTCAGATCCCCTAAAAGTTTCACTTTCAGTGGCTTAAATTCGGACACCCGGCCACTAGACCAACCAAAAAGGCTAAGGAACCGGGTGGCTCGCTTCGCCGCCGAGAAAACAAGCCACCCCCAGGTGCCCTCGCCCAACATTCTCTCTCGGCGCCGCGCCGGCTGCGCGGTAGAACCTGGGCTCAACCCGACTTCGACTCCCTGAAACCGCCTGAAACCCGGAAAAAATCAAATCCCACCAGCTGCAACCCGAGATCCCAGGCAAACTCCCGGAGAACAAAAAAAAAAAACGCCAAATGCACCGAGACACCCCCCCTCTCCCCCTGACTTTGATGATCCCCGGAAACCCCCCGAGACCCCGGCCACTTTCCCTAGGTCCTCCAGTAGAGGGGTTAGAGTAAGGGTACCCTTTTTTCCGTCTATGTTAGTAGGGGAACCCTTCCAACCAAAAAAGAAATGGATGAGAAAGGGCACAGGCGCCTAAAGCTTCGCCTAGGGCCTCGAGCCTTGAACGGAATGCCCAACCTTACGCCTCAGCAAGCCTACTGGGCGACCTTCCAGAAAGTCTGCTAAACCGAGGGGAAACGCCGGCGCTCGTTTTTTTGCGGGCGGGCTGCTGCTGCTGCCCCCCTGCTGCTCTGATCCAGGCTCCTGAGGTGTAAGCGCCAGGTCGGTGACCAACTGATCAGTAGGTTCTGACAGAGTTGGGCTGTCCGTTTTCGGATCCCCCGCGAAAAGTTGAGAACTTTTAGTGGGTTAAATGAAACTCCCCACTATTCACTAAATGATTAAAAAGCTAAGGGGATGGCTGGGAACCACTCAAATCCTTCAGGCACAAATCGAGAAGCATCCGAAGCACAGTGTTTGACCACGACACTAGAAGGCTTCAGATTGGTGGATACGAGCGCTTCCCAAAATGAAGCACCCCGTGTTTTCTTCGTTACTGGTGCATGGATCTGTGCTTCCCTCATTCAACCTTGTCAAAGTGAAAAACCATATGTTTCTCTTCTTCATGGTGGGAGTTATTTGTTACTGCTGTGGATGGACGAAATCCTGCACCACCTAAGAAACCCCGGAAGAATGATTCCCCTGCAAATACCAACAAACAGTGGTGTCCCTTGGTTCAAAGTCTAGGTCCTCCAGTAGAGAGGTTGCAATAAGGGTACCCTTTTTGCTGTCGTCTATTTTAGTAGGGGAACCCTCCCCCCAAAAAAAGGGTAAAAGGGCACTACTGGGGGACCTAGAAGTGGTGCGAACGGATTTCGCAACCATCCACAGTAGTGGAGTTCTGTGTTAGTGGCGCGCTTAAGCCAACCTCCACAGAGCTCTGTCGGTCCTGCGCGCCCATCAAGGCCTCAGAGGCGGAACTGTTCTTCGCGCGGTGGGCTGTGGAGCCAAACCCAGGCAGACCAAACGGACCCGAAATGCCTGTCCAGCTTGGGAAAGACAGCCGTGTCTCTGTCTTGAGGGTGCCCTTCTTGGATCGTTTTCCAGGGAAACCACGAGGAAAAACGATGCCTCTTTTTTTTTGTTGGGGGGGGGGCCTCGAAATCCCGAAAAACGACACACCCATAAAACGTCCTAGGGTCAATCCAAGTGTCCAGCTTCCCCTCAAGCCAGTCGTCGGTCCGTTTTGCCCGGGCCGCAAAGCCGAAAACATCCCCCACAGGCCGGCGCCTCGATCTCTTCCAGGGTGATGGACTTGACACGAGAAGCATCGATCACCTCAGGCAATCCGCTTGACAAATAGCTTGAAACTGGGCTGTCCGTGTTCAGATCCCCTGCTGAAAGTTGAGAACTAGCGGGTTCAATACACACACCCAACCACTAAACCAACGAAAAAGGTCTAAAAGCCTAAGGGCACAACTGGGAACCGCCAAGGAAACAGCTCGCTGGTGCGAGAGAGGCAGAGAAAAAACCTTCGCACTAGTGGGTTCCTTCAAGGGAAACCCCCCCTTCCGGTGCATTCGAATCCACCCGGACCACGTCAGTCCCTATCGCACCAGCAAGTGAAATAGGTGACTCGTCTAAAACCCAAATTGGTCGACCCTCGAAAACCTGACGGATTCTGAGAACGGTGATGAATCAACCTGGGATGAGGTTTTAGTCGGAAGCGTTCAGGTCTTCCCCTCCCCCCACAAAAAAAAAGAAAGGCGCTCTGGTTCCGGAAACCCAACCGAGACCCACCAAATGTTCGGCCAGGAATGGGTCCTCTCCCCCAAAAAACAAGAGCCGGCTCTGGGCTTTTTTGACCAGAAAGTTCACTCCGTCAGAAACATCTTCCCGTCCGCGGCCGAGAAAAAACCCTTTGCGCTCGCTCAGGAGGCCACCCCCATTCCGCCGTCCTGGCAAGCGAGGCGCCCCGCCATGGAAGCCGCATCCATGGCCCGTAGGGTTTTCCTATGGCCAAAAGGGTACCCTCCCAACACATCCACATGACGTGATGTTCCTACTGATGGTTGCGAAATCCATTTCGCACCACCGTTCAGAAGCCTTTGAATGATTCGATTCCCCTGGAAATACCAAACGTCGTGGTTCTCGATGGTGTCAAAGTGGTGCAGGATTTCGTCCATCCACGGTATTGGTCTCCTCTTCCGCCGCGAGAGATCACCATGCGGTTTCAAAATCTCAGACCGCCCCCTTCTATGACTGGAGGCTAGTTCTCTCTCGGCCTGAACGCTCAGTGATCTGAAAACGTTCTGTCAAACGCCCTGCGTCGGCCATTTTGTTCCCATGGGATGGACCTTTTTACTCGGTTGCTTTCTGCCCCCCTGCTAGAGGGACTAACTTTTAGTGGTTTAATACGGAAAACCCATTCGTTGGCAACAAGTTAAGGCCTAACATCCAAGCAAAATGCACCAAAGTTTAGCTCGCGCTTTCTTTCTTTTTCGGCCCCGCCTTGTCCCCCACGGCAGACGTCTTGCTCAGGTCCGCCATGTACCTTCCAAAAACACACACTGACCTGGGTATGGGTCAAAATTAACCACCACGGGCAGCTTTTAGTCCATGTTTCCATTTACCCGGGACTGCGTGCGGCGAAAGTGAACTCTCTTCCCCATTGGGCTTCAAAAGGAACGGCTCAAGACCCGAAAAAACCAATCCAAGAACCCTCAATTTCAGAGGGATCGTGCCACAGAACCTAATGAAGAGGATCATGAGACGAATCACCAATCCAAGAACCTGGAATGAAGAGGGATCATGAGATGACCGAAAAACCAGCGGTTTAACCAGTGTCCACAAAGGCCACAACGGCCTTTTCCCGAACCTCCCCGCACCACGGGGAAAAAATATCCGGCCCGATTTTCCGAGGAGCTTGCATTGGCCCGACGTCCTCCGTATGTTTGTCACAATCAAAACCTGATGGGAAGAATGGTTGGCATTGAAAAGATGCCAACATGTGGGTTTTCCTTGTGGCATCCCTTTAAAAACAACAAACAAGGCTCGGTTGCTTTCTGCCCCCCTGCTAAAAGTGACTAGCTGCTAGCGGTTTAACACGGAAAACCCATGGCAAAAAGTTATTCAGTCCTAGCATCCCTTGGCAACATGCACCAAAGAAAACCCGGTATCAAAATGGTCGTCCCAGAACCATGCTTCAAAAGTTAAGAAGGCGGAGATCCGCAGCTATTTATCGCAAGGAAATGTTTCCCTTACTAACCGAGGCATCTACCCGGGTGTGTCCATTGGCAAGGGGATTGTCCCTTACTAACCAAGTCATCTACCCAAATCGGTTTTGAGCAAGTGGCTCAAATGAACAAGATTCCCATGGCTCAAAAAATTGGAGCGGCTTGGTGTCCTTACAAAACCAGTCCACGTCGCTTCACTTATCTTTGGGCTTCCGAGGAATCCCTAAAAAAAGATCCCTTTCCAGCTTCACTCTTGTCCAAGGCTTAAAGTTGAGAGCTTTGAGTGGGTTAAATTCGGAAACTACCACTAAGCATTAAAGGGATCGAAAAAGCTAAGGAACCGGATGGCTGGGAGTTTCTTCCATTCTTCGGTTCCCTGCCACTGGTTCGAAAAACGGTTCGGAGATCCTTTTCCAGGTATCCAGTGAGGAAAACTAGACGCTTCTTCATGAGAAGCAGCGAATCAGCTTCTGAACAGGCTATCAACCAAACTGACCTAGGGTGTCATTGGAAGATATTGTCAATGGAAGGCTTGCGGATGGCCAAATCCCATTTTGGCCCATATGGCTATGGGTCAAAATTATACCACCAGGGGACGTTGCCACACCCATGTCAAACTCTAAGGATTTCTTGCGGACATGGGCAAATCAAACATCACCCCCACCAAAAAACGCGCACCTTTCATGGGCCAAAAAGGTGATGTCTAAAACCACCTTTTGAGCCCCAAGATGGGTGGTTGTCTCTTATTGATTCTCGAACCCTTGAAAACCAAAAAAGGGAACTGTACCCTGCAAAAGAGGCACGCCCATCCACTAACATGGCACCGAACACTTCCAGGTCCATGGGGTGAGCAAAAAAAGGAAGCAAACGGGAGATACCCTCCCACCCTTTTCACATGGAACCTGACAGAGAAATGGTCTCTTTAAAAAGGACAATGGTCCAATCCAGGGCCCCCGAAACGGCAGGTTCCATGCAACTTGGTGGGAGGCTAGCTGTTCGTTCCCAAAAAACCAAATCAATTGGTGGGAGGGTAGCTATTCGTTCCCAAAAAGAGCCATGCGCTTGGCCGCTGGTGTGTCTCTATCGAGCTGGTCGGGAGCACTTGTCCAGCGTGTCAGCTTCTGCAGGCGCATCTTCCGAGAAGCCCTGCGAGGGGGCTCTGTGGGTTGGCACAGGGGTTCATGCCAAAGGTTTTATACATCTGTTTCGAGTCTACTCCACGCCACACGGGAAAAACAGGGTGTATACTGGGCTGTCTGTTTTCAGATCCCCTGGGAAAAGTTTCATGTTTGGTGGGTTATGTGCAAACCCAACTAATAAACCACAAAAAGATCCAAAAAGCTAAGGAACCAGAAGTCTGGGAGCCACCAAGCAAAAAGACCCGCACCAAGTTTTTGCCTCAACCTTTAGCTGCTCGCACCCCGCGTCTCGCGAATACCTAAGGAACCGGATATGGCTGGCCCATTGAACCGCTGGCAACTTCAGCCGGGCAGAAACGCATCTTCTCCCGCGGGGCTGCGCTTGCAGACTTCGGGAGGCTACTGACGTAAGCGGGTAGCCCTGGGTATAAGCCACACTACACAGGTGTTAAGTGGGATATGACAAGGGCTACTAGGTCCTCCAGTAGAGAGGTTAGAATAAGGGTACCCGTTTGTCTGTAGTCTATTTTAGTACGGGAACCCTCCCCCAAAAAAGGGAAAGGGCACTACTGGGAGACCTAGGCTACGAACCACTTGCGCTCAGTCCTGCCGCCATAGCAATAGTAAGGCCTTATTGGTGTTTACCCCCTGCAAATTAACCGCAGGCGCCTAAACCCGAAAACGAGTCCCCTCCTTCCCCAAAGAACAGACAGCTCCTTCACAATGAGGGCGTGTCGGGCTGCATAGGGCGGATGAGGGCAGCATGAAAAAGCGCTTTGCATGTGAAATATGTTGTGACTTAAACGGAAGACATACTCCTCAATCGGATTTGAAATTTATGGATTCGAATAACTTCTTGTTTCCATGCTTTAGTTCTGCAATGCCTGCTCATGAACGTGTATTACCCAGAAAAACAAGCCTTTCGGCATGGGGGGGAGCCTTTTTCTGTTCGATCCCATGTGTTGGGCCGATTGACTGAAAAAATAAGTCATAATTAAAACCTGGGTGCTAAAATGGCCCACCCAACACCCTGTAAAGAACGAAAAGGTCGGCCGCACCCATGTATGTTGGGGACTGTCCCCTACCCTCCAACCACCCGGGTTTTGATTGCGACTCAAATGGGGCTCGATCCGGCCGAATGTCCGGCCGACATTTCAACTGGGAAGGCAGCGCATCTTGCACGCTGACGTCGATGTGAGAACCCAAGGAACTTTTAGACATGCCCTGACATGTCCCTGCTAATACGTGGTTGGGCTGCACATGGGTATGAATCTAAAAGAGAGATCATGTAAGAGGATTCGTGATTTATGCCTGCCTACCATGTTTGAGGGTGTTCCAAAGTAGTTGATTGTCATAGCCACACGAGTATCAACTGCAAGAAAAGAAGGTATGCAAATGCACAAAGGGGCAAAACGTTGAGTTGCCCATCGAAATGAGCGGCAAAAGCCGATGTTTCGCGAGGTGAAGCATAAAACCAGAAAGCTGCCGGGCGAGGTGTTGCCCATTGGTCTCAACACAGCCGCATTGTCTGCGTCAACCAATCGGTTTGCCCTTGAGACAACCCACCTCCATCCAACCCCCAACCCCACCCCCCCCACCCCCTCCCCCCCCACCCCCTCCCCCCCCCCCCCCCCCCACCCCAACCCCAACCCCACCCCCCCCCCAACCCCCCCCCCACCCCCAGCAGTGCCTTCCCACGAAGCTTCGTCAAAGCCTTCACCGTGGAAATGGCCGCCTGAAAGTGTCAAAGTCGATTTGGCCGTCAGGTGTCAAACAACGTCGCTTGGTTGCTGAGGGGTCTGGAACTAAACAAAGACTCCCTTTGGCTTCCTTTGCATGGGCGATTTTTGCCCCCAACTGTCCTGAGCATTGTACAGTTGTGTTCAACAACTCCCAGTGGACGGGTTTTTTCGCGAGCGTGTGAACACTTGCGTTGGCCGATCATTTGCTGAGCGTCTGGCGTTTTGCTGACTGCCGAGTGAATGAGGGCGCTTGACGCTTGTTGTTTCGGGCTTCCAAGATCCCTGGCTACGAGTGCTTAACATCTACCCTCCTTTCCCTAACATGAAACCTGACTGAAGGGTCCTGGAAGACAAGTGTCCTTTGCAGGGACCCTGGACGAAATCCATTCGCACCGCCTAAGAAACCCTAGAATGATTCGATTCCCCTGTAGATAGCAACAAATAAAGGTTTTCAACCATGGTTTCATTTCGTGGTGCGGAATTGGCAACCATCCAACTCGGTTGCTTGCTGCTCCCCTGCAAAAAGTTTAACTTTTGGCGGTTCAATACGGAAAACCCAGTAGTTGACAAAAAGTTTTAAAGTCCCAACATCCCTTGGCAAAATTCACCAAGAGTAGATCCAGCAACCTGGCGCCGAGTCGAAAGGTATCGGCGCTTCCCGCGAGCTGCTCTCTTGAGGGGCGCCTTCGCCTCGTCGTCGGAGTCCACCTCTAGGGCGTCGTCCTGGCCAACTTTGGAGGATGATTCTTCAAAGGGGGGCGGCTCCTTTCCTTCCCACCCTGTTTCTTTGTGCCTGGGAACATTTCAACATGCAAGTATGTGCATGTGCCCACATCTGCAGGGTGTGCATGCGTGAATGCTTTCTGGCACTGGCATTAGC